TAGTAGTAGTAGAGAGAGAGAGAGAGAGAGAGAGAGAGAACAAGAAAAGAGTTGGTATTTACCCAACCCTAATTGGAAAAATAACTAGTAATGTTACTCGTAGCTGTTATACTTGATCCGTTCTTCGTATAACCTCAACCAGTTCAGTGTCACCATTTAATATTTGAGGTTATTCGACTGAATGATACATTATTGAAATAACTTTATTCGTAACTTCAACTATTGATAAGGAGAAAAATTCGAACGATCATTAATCCTCGGAATAGGATTGTCCAAATCTGTTTAATTAACGTCGACTGTTAATTTTAAATCTAGTCTAAAAAAAATGACCACGATTAAACCACGAGGATTAATTCGAAGGTTATATTCTTATCTCTGTTTTTTCGTGAATCAGAATAAATTGCACAGTTCAAATCAATAATAGGTGCGTCTACTATTCGATTAAGAGTGGCATATCTGTATTGCAATCAAGACGAGGATGCGATCGTAAATACAATATCGTCGTTACACTTCTACTCATCAGCGGGCGCAGTTCTCGTGTCACTGTAGCGTAACAGTGGAAAATGAAAAGTTATAGTCGTTTACCGGTCGTAACTCAAGCCTGTGTAGTTTCTGTTAACCAGTCGTCGGCCAACTCGAATGCCCAGAATCCCGCGTGCAAGAAACCGAGAGGACTCTCGCTTCAAGGAGCAAGCAAGGTGTAATGTCGAATCGATGTACCATAATCGTCCGGACTTAGGTGTCTTTCGTTCCGAGCCGAGTCTACGGCGTGCTCGCAACCCACGGAACTGGTATACACATATTATAGTACGCGTGCTCATGTACTCATTTTGTATACCGGGTGAGGCACCCGATGCTTATCGTTTCCGTTATTTTTCTCTCGTGAAATGGATTTTCAGAGTTTCTCGAGATACGAGACACGAAAAATGCGAGAATTATTTACGCGCACACGTATTTCGAACGGAATCGATGGATCTTTAAGAACAATTGAACATATACAAATGTTCAATCCTTAAAATTTTTAATCCTTTTCGTCTCGATTATTTTCGTTATTTACATTGAAAATTTAATTCAATAAAAACGACGATTTGACACATAAATACTTATACATGATCGAAATTACTTTGCAGGCAAGATGGCGGCCTGCAGCGGCTTACTCATTATTCTGCGATTACTTCTCATCGCCGTGGCGTCGACCGTTCCAGGAACATGGATGTGAGTATTTTTCGTTCCCCTTAAAAAAATTACCGACATCTTTCTAAAATTAAGTTTGCTACAGGTACGTTAAAAATCCCACCCAAGGGAATAATTCCGCGTGAAATCCCGTATCGAACGGAAAATTACCTAATTACTCTCGGGTGTTATCTTCGGAGAAAAACAAATCGAATGGACACGGCCAGCCTATCAAACGACGATAATCGATAAATTAATATGTCGCGAGGAGAAAGGCCTCGATTCTTTACCCTCATCAAATTCCAGCAAAAATTGCCCACGCAACAACTGCCTGTAATTTATAGCTCTTTGTACACACACCGAGACGAAATCACGTCGTGGGAACACGATCGAAGGATTTTTCATACCGCTCCATTCCTCTTTCCCGGCCATATCCCCGGCCAACGGTGTGTCTAATTTCTGAATCGAGCCTAGTCGCCCCTAAATTCCACCCTTGCACGCCCATGACAAATCACTGAATGGGCTACGAGGTCGGGATACGAGTTTTTCATCGAAATGGAATTTCCCTTTTATGCCTTGCAATCGTCGATTTCGAAGGTATCCTCGAGCCGATCTGAATCTTTTTTTTTTTTTAAATCTCTTCTTCTTTCCTAAACTCGCGGAAAGTTTATTATGATATTTATCCGTTAACTAAACATTTCGTATATAGTATCTTTATATATACGAGATGTGGAATAATAAAAAATTGTCTTGGAAAATATGCGTTGTGAATTTGGAATCAAATTGGTGGGTAAGCACTTTTAACCGGTGATAGACGTGATCTCTGGTATTGTGCCGTGCAGCTTCTCATTTTCAGAAATGACGGATAATAGATTTTTGATCGATGATAAATGATCATTGGCCCGATCTAGTCGGTCCTCCTCTAAATCCCTTTGCCCGGCCGTTCATGAAAATGCCTAATCACATGGGCGGGACTCGAAGGATCTCCACAAAAGTTAATCCTTCTTATACGGGCTTAACTTAAGAACTTAAGATGGATTTAATCTTGCCCCCCTTAATTTTATCTTCACCGCGGCCTAATTAGATCTGAAAGGATCCTCCTCCAAAAAATTTTCGATAAATATATATACACACACACGTTATGCACACGATAACAAATCGATGGACGAGCAACAATGCTTCCTTTAGCTTTAGAAAAAATTAAAAATCGAAGCCACGTCTACTCTACATCCCTTGCTACGTTACACGAATTACAGAATTTTCAAACGATTTTTCGAACTTGAATCTTTATTCCCGAATTCTCTCCGAAACTGGCCGAATTGATCATTAAATATATTAAATATAAAGTGTGAAAATTTAATAAAGAAAGGAAGAAGGAAAGGATCGCGAGTAATTCCCATCGATGGATTTAGTTCCCAGCAAAAATAATCAATTATTAACGCGGCATTGGCCATTAATAAGCGTTATATTCAAAATTAGCGATGCCAACTTATGACCGGGAGTGTACACAAGAGTGCTTTAACAAGAATTCTAGCATGAATGTATCGTTCCATTCACTGCATACGATACACTTAAATCAACCGGCGAGCCGAGATTTTACAAAAGCAAATTAATTGCACGGTGCTCGGGATACGCGATATATACTTGTGCGATAAAGCAATTTTCTCGGAGGGGGGTGGGGGGGGGGAAATTCCACGTTGCTCTTACGTTTAATCCACAACTGTATCTGCGTAACAACCCCTCAAGTCTAAGAGCCGGCATCCAGATTAGATTCCGGATCCAGGCGCCGATGGCGCGCGCGTGTGTGTTAACGTGTCGACGAACGAAATTGATTCACACCAGGCAATTCCAGGCTGCATTATTTCTCCATGAATCGGGTATACGCGTTATCGAAACGGACGGATTAAAGGGTTGTCTCTCCAGATGTTCCTCTCTCGTCCCACGTCAGAAGCAGCAGCATCATTGTTGGCCTTCTTCCACTGAAACGTTTTGCTCTCGTTTTCACCTCACGTTGATGTAAAACAGGATATGAAGGAACAAAGTGGAAACGATTCTCGAATTTATTATTTTCAAGCGATCCGATCGATGACAAGAGAAATAACTTTTTTCGAATATTGTTGTCACGAATTATAGGTGTGTTCGTTAAAGTGTGAAGATTATGGGTGGGTTTGAGAAAGAGTGACAAGAGTGACATACGCTTATTATTAAATTCTGGTTACAACAATCGGATAATAATTCATTTCGGTATAAAAATATTTTGTATTGGAAAACGGGGAATGGAATATGATATTTTGAAACCGTTTATAATGAATATAATGCGTGGATTTCCATAGGTGAGAAAAATAGTAAAAATATGTAAAAATCGTGTATGTTTTAGATATTGTCTCGTCTTTCAAGATTGACATTATGTTGACATTAAACAAAATCGAGGGAAAAAGAATAGGTTGAATATTGTCGAGATTTCAGCAAGATACAAGGGATGTATTACTTAATTTAATCGGCTTTGATTCGAAGCAATTTTTGAAGCAACTTATAAAGAAACTTACGTATTTTTAGTAGCATTAATGGAGAAATATACCTCATCGTGGATAATTTAGTATTGCTAATAATAATCATTATCTCGGCCCTTCGCCTCTGCTAACGCTCAAATAATACGGCTCGATTACTTTACTCCTACGCGAAATAAGGTGGATGACGTATACCTGAGCATTGTGAGGACGATAAAGTATATAATCGTCAATCCTTAGAATCAAAAACCACTTTGTTCGTCACAAGTCTTAAAAAACAAATATACATATATAAACTGAAATTAAATCGAGATAATAATAATAATTTTCAATCGATCTCCTTGACGAAATCAAATTAAAGGAAATATTTTTCGAAAATCTTCGATATAAGAAAATGAAATTATTTTAATTCTAAATTTTTACGTCGCGCGAAATCTATCGATTTACTTTCATAGCAACATGGTGTTCCAACAATATTAAAATCAAATCTACAGGATTGATAACATGAAAATGAC